TCCATCTTCTAAACACTTTATTCAGTACAAGATTGTGGGGAAGCTGGAGCCTGTTCCGGCATGCAATGGGTGCAAGGCAAGATACACCTTGGATGGGACACTAGTCTATTTCAGGACACACAGACACACACACGTTCACACCAGGGCCACTATTCACAGAAAGCAATTAACCTTAAAGTATGTCTTTGGACTGTGAGAGGAAACAAGGTGCATGAAGAAACCCATATAGACACAAGTAGACCATACAACATCCATGCAGATAACACTCCAGGAATCGAACCCAGGGTGCTAATCACTGCATAAATGTCTATGTCGCAGATTCATGAATTATGTTTACTTTCTACCTGTATGGATATATAAGTATTGAGGTTCCATATTTAAAAAAAACTCCAAAGCTACCCTTTTGCAAATTCTTCAGTGTACTAATATAATATTACAAAAATAGCTCAAAATACATTATTTACACTTTGAAGTAAAATACATATTGCCTGAATTTATTTGGCATTTTTTTATGTTTATCTGCAAGAAGATTACTCTGTTAGAGCAGATGCACCAGATTTCAAACTGAAGGTTTCTCAGAGGATCCAGCAATCCCTGGTAATTTCTGTTAAATTTATGACAATTTTAAATGAGGCAACATGATCACAACAAAGTGTTTATAATTTGTGCACAGGTACCTTCAGCTTTCTGTGCCCAGAACATAATTGACTAGTGAATTGTGGAAATGTCAAAAGACATTTACATATTTTTTTTTATGTCTGTGGGGTATTTGTGCATCACACAGCTTTTTTGCAATTGCAGCCTGATAACAGGCTTTTCTAATTGATGAAACAGCACCTCCAATAAAGCTACAAATGAGTACAGGCTGTGTGGGGAGAGCCCACAAATCTGCTGGATGTGCTTGCCAAGAAAATGTACAATCTGTTCTGTTTTGTCAGAAAAGAGAGAGGTTGAAGTGTGAGGAAAGTGTGTGTCTATTACAAGTGAAAGGTGACTACAGATGTAAGAAAATAAAACCAGCAAAAGGGTATTTTGATGTGAGTTACATTAAATGAATACTGAGCTGCACAAAAATGACAGAACTCTTCTATAGATAAAGCTACCATAACAGTGATGTACAGTAGACATTACAAATATCTCAATAGTTTTCCTATTGAATACTGCCACCTTCAGCCAACACAGCACTTTTGTGGAGTCATAGTGACTTAACACAAACAAGATAGACAATGTAAAACTGGGTGAACAAGTAAATTGAAACAGTGGGATATGAATCTAACATTTTCTTTTTATTTTCCCTGCTGATCAATGCAAATAAACGAGTGTTTCAACATGTTCAACATATTCACCGCTGGATGTATTTTCTGCATAGCATTCAGCTTATCAGCATGGTACCCTATCTGTCTGCAATGCGAGGTTTATCACGATACCTGACTGAGTGGCATTAATGTTTCTAGCTTTACATGTTCTTACCAAGCACCCTGATTTGTGAACCGAGCCACTGACGTTTCAGCAAGAGTACAAAGACAAAAACACAAAACAACCTGAAAACATTAGATTTCATTTTAACAATGGACTATAAAGAATACGGCACAGAGCTGGTTTCAAACAAGTTTCATAGTTTTATTCCTAGACAAGTTTATTTGAAATTACCTGACTTCATTCATGATTAAGCTATTTGGGGTTTATACAGACTATTGAAAAATCCATCCATCCATTTTCTAACCACTTCACAAAATACAGTGTAGAGGGTCACTGGGGAGCAGGAGCCTATCTCCTTAAGCAAGAAGCACAAAGCGGAACACACACACACACTCACACCAGGGCCAATTTTCCCAGAAGCCAATTAACCTGCCAGTATGTCTTTGTATTGTGGGAGCGAACCAGAGCACCTGGAGGAAAGCCATGTGAAACAAAGAGAACATACACTACAAACTACAGTACATTCATATAGCAGGAACTGAACCCAAAGCTCCAGTTCTGCAATGCAGCATAGCTAATTCCTACAGCCCAGTGCTACCCTATTGAAAATTAATTTCAGTATACAGTATACTGTGTTATACAGTGTATTACAATGTGTAGCAATATATTATATACTGAGAGCATTAGAAATGCTACAAATGTTATTGGTTCTTATATATGTTGTATTTTTTCTTCATTATTATTTTTTGGGAAAACATGGCCTTTGATCATGGGAACATAATTCTAGTGGTACATATACCGTACTTTAAATGTAATATTGATCGTTATGTGTCTTCACTGCTGGTTTCGATCACTTTTTCCTTCAGCCTGATGGTTGCACAGATTTCTAAATGACTTGGGATGTGTTACTATCTTACAGTCACTAATGCAATATCCTCACCTTACTGTCTGATTGATCACCTTGTCCTTTGCAAGTTTTGCAAGGCCTTATTTCCGATGTTCCTAATTTGGCTCCATGGAGAACGTTTCCTATAGTAATAAATGAAAATTGTATTGGTGGTCTCCATATTTATGTCTGACAGCATATCAGAGCCACAAATGAGGATTAAGTGGTACGTGGATCATTGACTGAATAATATTTGAGCTTTAAATTAATAGGCCAGTCTTGTGGCCTAAAGTGTCATTCTTTTAGGGGTAACTGAGTTTGATATATAATATCTTTCTCTTGTGGTCTGAGAAAATAATTGTTCAATAGAAACCTACACAGTTTTTAAAACTGATAGCTTATTTGTTGTATATATGTCTTTTAGGCTGTGTAAAGTCTACTGGTTAAAGCACAGCACGACTATGGGCCTGTGAGACCATTTTGATGTTTTCTCCTTACTGTAACAGGAAGGCCTTTGTTTCTGCAAAGTGTTCCTGAAGCCAGATTGAATGCTAAGGACTAAACCTCAAGAGTAATATTCATAAAAATGGATTCATTACAAAAACAAATGTAGTATTCATGGACAGGGATTCAATGCAATGCTGGAATCTCATAAGAAAAGCAATGAGCAGAACTGTTGTTCAGAGAATGGCTTCCAAGATGTTGTTGATTCCAGCTATAGCTAAATTAGACTATAATATCTTTTACTTTCTGCACTGCCTTCTTTAATGCATTTCATGCAGAGCCTTAATTTGCTTCATTATACTGTATGCCTTACCTTATCTTGAGATTTGTTGATGCAAACTAGAAGAAAATGTAATTTGCATACATTTGTATCAGTCGCCTTGAAGAACACTAGTTAAGATACACTCAGATCATTTTCAAGGGCTGAGAAAGATGGATTCACCTGGTACAAGTGAGCACTCTTCTGATGTTGAAAAGAAAAACAGGCCACCAAGCTGTCAATAGTTACCGGAAACATTCTTGTTTTTCAAAGCTATCTTATATCTGAGAATGACGAGACCTGGTGAATGGATTGAAACAATCAGGCCCTACTGCAGGTTATCTAGATCTAAATTGTTTTGGCACCCACAGCACAGCATGCGTCAGAAGCTCAGAGCTCGTCGTGTGGTGCTGTGTTGCCCATTGTGTTGTGCTGCCAGCTGACATTTACATTATGCAACCCCCACCCCAAACAATTATTTTTCATTGTGAGACTGCCAAGTAGCAATGTGACTCATTTCAAACCCCATGTGACTTGAGATCTGTTATTCTCTGAAGTAAATCTGGGAAGATCAAAACAAGACTGAACCATCATTTGCAGTGAGAATAAATAAGCCATTTCTGGGGATGTGGGCAGTAGACTTTCTTTACCTCTCACTGTTTTTTTTTTTCTCTTTGGTTTGTTACAGAAATGGGATACTGGTACAGTAGTTGTTTTATTTAATCACAATTGAGATTTTAAACAGGCAATACCTACATAAATGAATAGTTAATCTGTTCTTTTTCACATTCTGGAGTCATCTTCTCTTGTGATACACTTGTGCTTTGATTGACAAAGTAGGGACAAACCATTGGTGTGTGAAGTTACTAAATATTTTTCTTAATTGCCATTTTGTTTAAATGCTATTGATTGTTTAATCCAAGAAAAGCTAATATGGGAGGCTCCTTAAGAAATCCTACACTGTTAAAAACCTAGGAAAACAATTTTAAAGTATTACTGAGAAGGATGAGTAGGAAAATGCTTTTCATAAAAAGTTCTTCACTTGATAAAAAAGCTTTCAACTTTAATTTATTCTTGCAGCAAGACACGTCTTTTTTATCACTTCTTCACCTAACAAATTGGGATTGTTACAGGAGCCTGTGTGTGTCTTTACAGAATAAGCCAATGTGAGAAAAAAAAATTACATTTCCATATACTGGTTGTGCCCAGAAATATACTAGTAGTCTTGACATAATTGACAGTGAAGTGAGGCAGTCTCACAGATAGAGCTCTCTCTCTCATGAGGTCAATCAGTTTCTTTCACTTCTTCTCACAGGGAGACTGATTAATTAATAAAATAATGACAGCAGCTCTTCTTCAGTTTTAAGTATCACTTATTGCATCCAGTCGTTTTAAACCTTCTGGTCACAAAAGCAAACGAAAGCTAAACAATCAAGTGATCGGTTGGTGCCGCTCTGTTATGAGCAGCTCAAGGGTTTAAGAGGGATTCTATGCTTGTCTGTTAAAAAATTGTTCACTCAACACAAGTGCATCCAAGAGGTTTCAGTGTCAATTAAAGGAGTAGGGCCTCCCTCATTGACAGTACTCCATGTCTGTACGTATCTGGGAGGCCAGATTGGTCACCGTGCCACTGAGAGCTGAGACAGACCCTAACATTTAATCACACCCCTACTGCTCATGTACATTCACTTGGGCAACACTCAAACAATTATTGACCACTGTTTAGGGAATCTCCATCACCATCAGCTAGTTTTTCAATGAATGTTTATGAAAACATTAATGAAAAATATTTTATCTATACTACAGAACATTAAAGTGTCTAGAGTGCCTTTCCAATGCAGGGGCTCCTTCAGCGTCATGAACAAGCACACTATGCACTGCGCAGTGACTGTCCCCTTGTTAATGAGGTGGAGGTTCTCTTTGTTTCTGCAGAGAATTTGCGCGCTGGAAGGTGAGGAACACCGCTATCGAGAGGAGGGATCTGATCCGGAATCCCCTTCCCCTAATGCCGGAATTCCAGAGGAGTATCCGCCTGCTGGGGAGGAGACCCTCCGTCCAGCAATTCATTGACACCATTATCAAGAAGTACGGGACCCACATTCTGATCTCCGCCACTCTGGGAGGTAACTGCCTGGCTTTGTACTTGGTTCCAGCATTGAAAAAACCTGACTCCTGCCCTATCATTATAGTACACTTCAGACTTAACTTAACTAAACCCTCACATAAGTCAGGTTAAGTTAGCTGATTGGGGCCAAATGAGTTACATTAATCACTTAATGACCAATTCCAAAGGAGATGTAGAAAGAAATCAAAATGTGTAGCGTTGCAGTGTCCTGATCTTAAAAATATGACATTATTTCTCAGTTGTGATACTACTTCCCTTATACAATATCTTTGTTGTCAAGATTAGTTGTAACAGTAAAAATAGCTTAAATAGTTACAGTTGTTTTGTCTAACATTTAAAAAAATATATAATATGGACCTGAAATATAATATATTTATAATATGTATTAATATAATAATGCTCAAAATAATTTCTCCTGATTTATGCAACACATTGCTAGTTCTGTTTGCCATGATTAACTGAGCTCCATTTTGAGTTCAATATATTTCAATAGGATTAGTTATTTGTCAACAGAAATAATATTTACAAATGTGGTGGAAATATATTCAAAAGCAATTGCAATCTGACAATAAGTTTTAATACAAGCGGTATGCAGAAAAACGCTGGTGCTTTTTTGAAGAATTGTAATGCTATTCTGCTTTACAGAACTTTATGTTGAAAGCCATGATTTAATTTAAGCTAAAAACAGAATATACAGTACATCAGTTTTAGGGGAAAAAATGTTCCAGAACTATATAAACAATTAATGTATTTTAACTCGCTTTGAGTAAAGTAAATCCAGTTTTACCGAAAGGTACAATCCTTTAACGTCTGAATCTTGCACTATGCAGGATAATATTGTCAAGCAATGGTTTGCCATATGACAAAGTACTGGCATCTGGCTTTCGATCGAGAGAATTATATAAGAAGCATTAAATTGCAGTATAATATACAAGCCTGCAAGCTGTTTCAACTTGATACCATAATTATGACATTCAGGAAGCTTGTGAAAAATGTATTAAAAACAAACAAAACAATCTCAACAATAAAACAGGAGCAGCAGAATTTGTGGAGAGACAGATGTGTACTGTACCTGCTAGCAGCCAGTCTACGAAATTCTATTAAATATGTTCTGATGTAGAGAGAACAATATATCATGAGCGCAAATATGTCTGAACGTGGACAGGGGAATAATAAAGGAAAACAAAAAGATTGCCAAAATGTTATGAAAACTATTGGGAATATGATAGATGATTTTCAGAAATGTATCATATACCCTGAAATAGGTGATGCATTGTCAGGCTAGCTAACAGAAGGAAGTGTTAAAAAAAGAGAAAAACGTAAAAGCTGACACTTGAAAATGTTGAGCTAATTCTGTTGTATGGTAAAAATTAAGGTTATCATGCTTCAGGAGCAACTGCATTCATATGAAAGCACTAGTTACTAGAGGCAAAGACCCCACATGAGAGCTAACTCTATCAGCTAGCTGGAGACCAGAGAGAGAGAGGACTTAACCACACATCTACCACCACCAGCAGAGTAAACATCCTTTCCATTTTTCACATAAACCTATTAACAGTTTTTCTTGCCACCCAGCTGACTATGAGATAGAAAAGAAATCATTAAAAAGATCAATTGCAAAGCAAGCTTGAGAGATGGTAATGAAATCAGGATTAGTGGACTCTAGTGATGTGTACCATGCATGGAGGTTGATGGTAAAAATGCAAATATGTCCTAAATCATAAGCACTCTAAACACTAGTCAAAAGTAAACAAAACATTAGCTGACACTTGCATGTATTATCCATTTATATTCTGTTCTTCTGGTATTATAGGAATTATTTACAAAGCAAAGTCATTTTAGCACTGATTAAAGTATACCACCACACCATTTCTTGTGACATGACAATACCATCTCTCAGTCACATATTCGATACATCTCATAACAGCTGTGCCATTTTGTTTCAATAAACACAGTAATAAGATTACTGGTTACTGAGATGAAGAAATTTGATCACCTGGGTCAAACATGCAAAAATTACACAAAAAGAACTATAACACATTTCTTTTGCAGTGGAGAAAGCAGTGTATCCTTGCAGGGTGTTAGATTTAGATACAATGAGAGGCTTTTCTTTGCTTTTGAGGTTCACACTTCAGTTTTCTTAAATCAAAGTTACTTCTTAACACAAAACATCCACCTATGGCTTACTTCAGATGAGAAGCCAGGAGCTGATGGGTTTGAAGCCTTAAATGAGCTTTAATTGAGACTAGGATGTAACCGGTGGATATTTATTGTGGGATAAAATGTATAAGCATTTGAATCAGGTGCATTTTCTATTTGTTTATTAACTTAGGTATGCTGTTTCTATTTAAATAAAGTGATCAAATTGGTTAGAGGGTTTTGCATAAAGCCTGCTGACCATTATGTGTACTCCTGTTCTTAAAGGACAATACAACAGAGACTTTAACTATAGGATTGAAGTGTTACCTAAAGATGTTACAATATTCTTCAGTATACAGTATATAAAAATTAAACATTAAAATTAAAGTACATTAAAAATATAAAAAATAATAAATTAGTGGAACATAAAAATAGTTAATTCTACAGTGCTTATTTTACCACTGATATGAAGGCTGACTAACAAATGAAGACTAGTTATGTTTTAATAAGGTATAAATCCCAGGGCTGTTATTTTATTACTAACATTGCTTATACAATATTACCATAAAGATTTTTTTTTACCTTACAAGTTCATCTTCAGATCATTATTTAATAAGAAAAGCTTTCGTTCTCTGAGACTACTTGGAGTAAAATTTATTACACTGTTCCTTAATGGAAAGTCAATACTTTCTATGTAGCTCATCCTGAGGATTAAATTACTCAAGCTGGCTACAGAAGGTACTGTATATCAACTTTCTTTCAGTTTATTAAAACTGTAATTATACCTCCTCTACAATCTTATGAATTTGTAACCATGTTCATTTTACAAAGTCCACTGTTTCTAATTATTTTTAAAAACAAAAAAGTTAAACAACAGGTACTCCTGGTATTTAAATTATATAACTTTTCTAAGAAAGAAATGGGTGTGAACTACTGCCAATTGTACACATACTGTATATACATGATTTTTTAAGAACATTGGAATGGAGAGCAAGAGCAAGTCCATACTCCACAGCTATTGCTTCAAATCATTGGGATGCTAAAAATATATAAAAAAGGAAATAACGGTAAACAAGGAAATAACAGAGAATAGATACTATAGCTTAGAAAAGACTTATCATATGATCCTGGGTGAATTATTCTTATTTATTATTTTAGACCCTCTGGAAGTTATCAGAAACCCATTGACCTTTGGAAAGAAAGTATGTGTGTGATTTAAAAACATAACCCTACAGGAGATAGTGGAATAGCAGAGAGCCTACATGACCTTCTCCTGCTGGGGAGTCCAGACAATTGTAAACTCTTCCTACAGCAGTTGTTCAATGAGGCATGAGGCACAGGGAATGACTTTAGCCCCAGGTACGAGTGCTCCAAGTAACCACACATAGTGAGGGAGTCTTTGTTGAGCAGCCTAACAATATGTGACATGCAATCAAGCTTCCTGGGCACTTTCTGATTTTTATTTTTTCAAAATGACTTTATGTTTTATGAAATAAAACATGAAAGAAGACATTTGAACACAAACATGTTATATGCATATTCATATTTTAAATGGCCAGATTTATTCTATAGTATGCCAGAGCAAATTACAAGAACATTTGATTACAATGTGATTCCTTCAAAAAACACAACATGCACTGAATCATTCATTTTCTAAGACTGTACACAAAAGAAGAAAAAAGATCTAATTCATCACTATTGCTAGGTGTCTTTCACAGATTTGCTTTTCAAATACAGTCGTGTTTTGCTGTATGATTTAACTCAAAATGTAAGGTGATATAGATCAAGCAAATTGCATATAATAAAGAAGTTTTAAATGCTCTACCATCTGTAACACTGTCTCCAGTTTCATATGGTAGCTGATGCTTGAAGTGTAATTGTGTTCATCTCTTCACAGTTCTACTGTACAAAATAGATCATTGTTATAGTTCTAATACAAAAATATAGTTAATGCAATATTGGTATTTACACTCTGATAAACACATGCTGACAATCAGCATGTAAATTAACAAAAATGTGATTATTCACCAAACACTGTAATGGTACCGCTAACATCTGAAGACTGAAAATGCTGAAAATGGAGAAAAAGCAGACTGAACACAATAATTAACGTGATGATTAGCATAAGAACATATTAGTGTTGTCAAGTATCATATCTTCTAGGTGGCATCTGTTGATTTAAAAAGTGTTGACACTTTGTCAATGGTCAACACAACACCACTGGTCTTTTCTCACATACAGTATCTATAAAACTACATGAAAACCATTGTAGTATTAACAAGATGCCAGTTTAGAGATATATGATCTATCTATCATTATTAAAGATACAAATCCAAAGTATTGTAGTTGTGATTATTGTAAATCCCATTCTTGAACTTGAACTTGAACTTGAACTTTATTGCCATATGTAACCGGTACTGGTACAATGAAATTCTTCCTTACAGAAAGTCTCTCGATTGTAAAACAAGTGTAAAAAACAAAACAAAGTGCAAACAGTGCATCAAGACAATGTACAAACAAACAATAGACAATGTGCAAGTAAACATGCAGGCAGTTTGAATGTAAACAATACAGACGTGTAAACAATGACTGGAGACGTACAATAAATAAATTACAATGAGGTAGATGGTGATGGTGTGGGTGTGGTCCGAGGGGGATGGCTAAATGTGTTCGCCAGTCTCACTGCTTGTGGATAGAAGCTATTGAAGAATCTAGTGGTAAGTGTCCGTATGCTCTTATATCTCTTGCCTGAGGGCAGTGGGGTGAAGAGCTCATGCCCAGGGTGGTGACTGTCCTCTGTGATGGCCAGAATTCTACCACTGCAGCGGTCCTCATAGAGCTGCTGAAAAGTGTTCTTGAAATCATCTTGTTCAACAACTGACAATGATAATGCAACACCATATCACCAGTAAATTGTGCCTGAGGGATTAAGGAAAGTATCACTTCTTAAAATGTTGTCATTCAATTAATACAAAATGTTTTAAAATGTGACCAGCTCTAATCTCCTGCTTAGCTTTATGTTATAGTAGAGTGGATTTGTTATCGGTAGTATCTGGTGGCAATACTCACTGTAAATAACTGCCAGCAATGAATTATCATCAATGTTTCTAATCTGCCCTTGTGGATGTTCTGCAAGCACATTTGCCCCAGCCCTTTCACAGCAATTCAAGAGTTCATGTTTGATTTTTATCAGCCCACTGTAATTAATCTGACTTTAGATAATGTTTATGATATGTGACTGTTCCTACTGCAGTTGTTCTATACTAGCATTACTGAAACCTATTTTGTTGGATGATCACACACAGACTTGCAATGTTTTGTTGCTGCAGGAGAGGAAGCACTGACCATGTACATGGACAAGAGCAAGCTGGACAGGAAAATGGTCAATGCCAGCCAGAGTGTGGAAGCCCTGCACCAGCTGGCTTCCTCATACTTCATCGACCGAGATGGAACAATGAGAAAACTCCATGAAATCCAAATATCCACCAACGCAATCAAGGTTCTTATTCATTTAACCTCCTTATCTTATTCCTTTTTAATATGTTAATATATGATTATAACCGTGTTGCCATTCTTTCCTTTAGATGCTAGATCAATTAAAAAAAGAGAGTCTGTCAGACAGAGCTCCTGGAAGCTTGAAGTCAAGCAAAACAAAATTGAAACAAAGTTGATGGTGACTGTTGACTCAGCACCACAACAAAGAGTAATATCCTTGATGAAACCAGTCAGATTGTTTCTGATGTGCATTGTATTATTCAGGGATCGTTGATTAAACCTTTACTAGTTTTCATGCAACACTAAAGTATTCTATTTCCTGCAACAAGCTTGAATGCCCTTGAATTGCATTTTGGATCTCCGAGATCTGGAAATTTAAGAACAACAGTTTCTGCCTCAAACCATTTTCAGCATAAATTGTGCAGATTTACGTACTAATCCATTATATCTTGTGATATAATGAATATTAAAACACTGTTGTTAATCTGGCAGTGCCTTTTACTAATAATTAATAGCTATTAATGTTAATCTTACATGCTACTAAATCAGCCAATAAATAAAGTAAGATTTAGTTTTGGGATTTCTGATTTAATAGAAATCTATGATTCACCAGAATAACAATGGCGATTAAGATGGGATTCCCTTAATTAAATTAGATTGCATTGTACAAGAGCCCTTTAATAAAATATAGACTAGAAAGAAACTTCCAATGAGATGGAATGAAAGGATGCATACTGTAAGTGAATTGTTTTGGAGTTAATCTGGACATCCTTTCATTCACATTCACATTATCAGAAATACCACATTCCAAAAAAATATTGGCAAAGAGAAAAAGAATTTCTTAAAATATGCACATGTCTAATTTTTGTCTCCTTAGTCAGCATTGTGTGTGCTATCCAGGCAATTTGGATATTTAATCAGCAAGGAACTGTAGCTGAGCCTTTTATACTCTTCTGTATTATACTGAGTGAAAGGGAGGTTTGTTGGGAGTATTTGATTTTGATATAAAGGTAATTTCAGACTTGTTTTCCTCGTCTTCTTTTATAGTATACATTCTAAGATATTCCCTAATTAGGTAATTTTTACATTCAACAGAAAATTACCTATTTAAACAAAAATAGTTTAATAGCATTTTTAAGTGTGCTTTCAGGTAAAAAAAAAATCATAAATACTGTCTCTTGCCATTTTGTTCTGTCCTAGCCAAATGTTTATGCTCTACCGACTTGAGTGAGATGGCAATATTTAACTGACTCTGTGTCAAATGGAGATAAACAAGATGGATGGTCCTGCCCCAGCTGTTACTGATGACAGCTTTCTGATATTCCTCCTTTTTTGCTGCAAGGAATTTTACCCAAGACACTTCAATGCATTTCACTGAGCCTGTTATAGACTTAAGGAAATGAACAGTAAGAATGTGAGCAAAGAAAGGCCTGGGAGCATAAGAATATCTTAAAATGTCTCTACAACATTTATCAAAACCTCATCGCAGGTCTGGGTCTCCCTAAGCCTATCTTTTCTTAAAAGGTTTCAACAATGCCATATCATTCATCAAAATGCAGATTTTTGTCTACAGTTTTCTACTGTTGCGGTTATGCCTTAAGCAGTATTGACTCCTATAGCTTGAAATCTTTCATGGGAAGTTTTTCTATGTGATCCAATAATGTTTTTTAGACTGATACTTGCAATATTTCTGTCTCAGCTTCAGCTTTGTATTTTTAATGCATGTAAGCTCACTTCCAGTAGTTAAGTTGTAAATCACAAGGTGTCAGAGCTCAGTGTGAACAATATAGAGCGCATGTAGAATCCATACAGGTACTGTACCTGAGTGCTTAAGAGCGATATGTGTTTAACGTCAAGGTAATGCACATTTAATACATTTTTAATTTCCCACTGTAAATAACATCTTAACAGGGAAAATAAATATTTAATCATTTCAAATACCTTAATTATATTCTATTAGGCCTACTCTATTTCTGAAGCTTTTCCACATTAAAGGACATAGCATTGTGTCTTTAGTCTTTCAGAATCCAACTGCATGATCCCCCACTAGTCTACACTGTAAACATATTGAGTCTCAATGAGTGGGTCACAGAAGTAATAATCACCCCCTAAACCTGAACAGTTTAAAATTCTGTTGTAACAGAAGACCCTGTTTTCTGGTTTCCCACAGTTCTGATTGAATCCCAGCAGGGCCTGAGAGGTTACACTTCTGACAGAATTTTTGTTTAAATTACAGTATAACCTCTTCTAGCATTTGCAAGATTTTAGGAGTGCACAGTACTATCTTCTCATAATTTTGTGGTCCAAACCATAAGCAGGTTTACGTTGTTTACTTTCTTTGTAAGCTGTGGGGAAAACTCTAACTATAGTGGATATTGGCCAGAATAATCATTGATGATTTTCTGCACTAAAGTAACCCTTTCGCTTTCTCTAAACCAGGTGATGCAACTAAATGTGCCTTAGTTCAAGAATGTTCCCCAACCTTTTACCTGAGCAATCTAAACTGCTTATTTACATCTGGAACACTACCAAACAATTAGCTAGTTCCATGTATTTTCTTTGGACTCAGAACCTTTCAGCGTATTGTGCAGCCAAGATTTGTTTTTCCATAATATGCCATGGGTGCATATATTGATTAAATTCAAACTGTCTAACACACATCCTGATATCTGCATGCCACTCCCCATACATACCCATTGTAGTCAATGCCAAAAAGCTAGCATTGACTTGCATGGCAGCATATACTGTACAGAGTAGAAAACTGTAAGGTTCTATTTTTTTACACTTCCAGTCTTTTTTTAAGGTGATTTTAGATTTTAAAACATGCATGTCATGTGTAGGTGTCAGTGCTGTGTTTTGAGGTCCAGGTGCATGGAAGGTGAACATTTATGAGGTACCAAGGCTGTGCTTCAGCACACAATTAAAGAACAGGTCACTACAGGCTTTACTGTTGCTATTCTAGGAATTGTTTTACATTTTGCAGAATCTGCTTTATTAGAGTGATTTTTTTTTGTTTTTCAATTACAGTACTTTCATTGATGTTATTTGATATAATAGGCACACAGATATAATTAAACACACTTCTATTATGTGTTAAGGATTGTAATTTAAGTGCACTAATGGTTGCTATTCGTCAGGCCTTCCTTTATGGAAGTAATGTGTGGTTTTAGGATTTATGAGAGTGAATTATAAAGCTCTTTTGAGCCAGGAAAGCAACAAGATTAAACCCAAGGAATAAAATATGAAAACCAGATAAAAACATCTAGGGTTATTAGTAGCCTTAAACAAATACTCAGGTTAGATGGAAAGATTGAGGAAAACATCAGATACTGTATCACTCTAAAGTAGGAGTGAGGATCAAAAAACCAAGATAAGTCAAATTCTGTTGTTTTTTTAAATAAAAAAAAATCATTTAAAAATAGAAATTCCAAATCATTCATTCAAACATTTCTATTTTGATAAAGCTAGCAGGGACCAAGGTGACTATTTTTATTTTGTGACATTTCATAAATTATTCATAAAGAAGATCAAATACAGATAAATCATGCAGAACAATGTACATTTTGGCTGTGGAGCCTTCTTCGGGTGTGGAAAACTGTGTTGTGTGTTGTTTGTGTGCTGAATACTGTTTCAGACTCGGTTTCCAAATGTCTTGTCCGCTTCCGTAGTATTTTGTGTACATAAACTCGTGATGTTGCCCCGAGCAACCAGAACATTCACACAGGCTCTCAATCTGCTTCCGACCCTGTGCAAACGTGTTCAGGACACGTCTCCCAAAGGCCATTCATTTTTCAGTGATCCTCCAACATATTGGACCCTCCCACTCTCAATCAGGCAATTGAGAGGACTATTTTAAGGTGTTTCCCTGCACAGTGCTCTGACATTGAGCTTAGCGCTCAGTGCTAAGCTTCACAGTACTGAAATGCTTAAAAGCCTTGTTCCTAAATTCACAAACATGGGACAATTCAGCCTTCCTTGTTTTTTTGTGGCTCGTAACTTTTTCACCACTTTTTTCGCTGTCTCCTCCGAAGCTATGGCTCCTCAGCTTTCTCTTCTGCCATTCCAGACAGGCTCATTCCACTGGTAGGCTTCACATTATCCAGACAGCTTCATTCCGGCCTGCCTCTTCATATCGAGCAGCTGTATCCAAGCCAGTCACTCCACTGCATGAAGGTAGCTTTTTTCCTGGATTAAAATATTATTTCATAGGCATTTTTCAATAAGCCTGCATTATTAGCTCATCATCTCTCATTAAGTCTCAGTCGCACTGAGCCTTCCCAAAGACTCTTGAGGCATCTCTGTGACACTGCAGTGGGACCTTGGCTTGTCATTAGCCACAGTCTTGACATCTCAGGGGCCGCGGCATAACACATAACATATCTTCTAAAGACGACTCTGACAGTCCGGTTTCTCAGTTTTACTCCAGCTAAACCTTGTAAATGTGTTTTGTGCCAGAAGATTAAAGACAGTCTACTTGAACCGTTCATTTTCAAGATGCACATACAACAACAAAAAAATAACGGGAAACAACCACTTGTCTTTAATGCTGATTTAAATTACAGACAAGAGTTTTATGCTTCTAAATGGTGCCATAGCTCTATTAAAATAAATTAAATGAAAATTCTAATCTTTTGAGAAAACCATAAGAAAGCTGGCTGAGCTTTAATGAAAGTAGAAATTTATGATATCCTTCTTGTTAGTAATAGCTGCAATTATGTCTGGTCGACTACAAATTCAAAGGAAACGGTGAATTCAACTCAAAGGCTCTGTGTAGATGTTTTCTTAGCTATTCTTTACCTCACTCAGTCAAAGAACAGTGCAGTTTACTACTGCAAGAGAATCACACAAAAGAGTCGTTTTTTTCCCTTCGGTAAAACCCTTTTGGTAAGACCCTTGTGAACAGCAGAAGATGAGGTATGTTTTTTGTTTTGTCGGTCATGTCTTATTGAGCAGTGCAGAACACTTAGCTAGAAGTCATATTACCATAGAGTTTAACATCTGGAA